TTTTTTTTTTTTTAAAAAAAAAAAAATATTAATCAGAGAAAGAAAAAAATAATTTTTTCTTTTATAATGCCGTGGCGTAGTAACAATTCGTACAAAAAAAATTTTTATGTTACATTTGGCATTTGGGTAATACGCTTCTAACCCATAAGTGTATAAATTACAATCCTTTATATGGTGTAACAACTGTAACATTATACAATAGTAAATCATGCTAAATTTAATTTTATAGAATTTTATAGTTTTAAAAGGGCGTAAAAGGACTTGCCTTTTGTTTCTATCTGTGCACTATAAGTCTATAAGTCTATAATTTATTGTTTAAAGTTGATAAATATAGATATTTTCTTTTTAACAAATTAAAAATTTTAAAATATTATGTCTACACTTCGAATTGGATTAATTAGCACAACAATAAATAGAGCAATTGCATTATGTGATACTAGTATTTACGGTAGTGTACACAAACAATTTGAATTTGTAAAACAAACAATTCTTGCTGATAATTCTCTTACAAATGATGAAAAAACCGAAGCAATAAGATTATTTAATAAAGATTGTGATCGAGAAAAAATTCTTCGTAATGAAGGGACAAGAAGAATTTGTGAAACTTGTAACCAAAAATGTTTGGCTACATTATATTGTGAATATTGTGTCCGAAATTATTTAAAAACAAAATTTTCAAGTTGGAAATCTGGAAATAATGATATTGATAATTTAATACAAAAATGTCAATCAGAAACACTCATGCCAAATAGTGTAATTGAATGGATTCCATATAATAATTTACAAAATATTGAATATCTAGCCAAAGGTGGATTTGCTAAAATTTATACAGCAACTTGGATTGATGGAAAATATAAAGAATGGGATTCTGAGAATCAACAATTACAAAGATTTGAAAATTTTGATGTAATACTAAAAGAATTAGAAAATATTGAAAATGCAAGTCAAAATTGGTTTGAAGAGGTTTGTAAACTAAATTATTTTAAGGAATTTAGTGTTTAAAATTAAATAATAAAACTGAATTTAAAATTATTTTTTACAGGCTAAATCACATTTAACTATAAGTAATAAGTATCCATCAATTGTTCAATGTTATGGTTTAACACAAAATCCATCAAATGGAAATTATATGCTTGTAATAAATAGAATGAGTATAAATTTAAGAGAGTATTTACAACAAAATCATAATCAAATAACATGGAAAGAAAGAATTGAAATTGCTTATATAATAATTGATGCACTTTATTATATTCATAAAGAGAATTTAATTCATAGAGATTTGCATTCTGGAAATATATTATATTCACAATTTAGTGATGATTGGCTTATTAGTGATCTTGGATTTTGTGGTCCTGCAGATAAACCATCAACAAGTATATATGGAAATCTTCCTTACATAGCACCTGAAATTATTAATGGAAATAAATATACCTTTAAATCTGATATTTATAGTATTGGCATGCTTATGTGGGAAATTTCATCTGGAAAACTACCATTTAATAATCATGAACATGATTGTGATCTTGCACTTAATATTATTAATGGTATGAGGCCAAAAATTATATCAAAAGTTCCTTTAAAATATAAAAATTTAATGGAACAATGCTGGAATGCCAATCCATTTGATAGGCCTGATATTATTACACTTTTTAATAAAATAAATGAAATTAAGTTTTATTATCAAAATAATCCAAATGAATTACCTCAACTAAAAGCAAAAAAGAATAAAGAAATGAACCATGCAAACATAAGCAGTAAATTATTTACAAGTAAAATTTATAAATATGAAAATTTACCTGAACCAAAAAATGCAACAGAAGGTATAATTTATCAATATTTATAACTCTATTTAATCTTTCTTTGTTATTAATAATACAAACTTTTTTTAATTTATTCAAATAATAACAGAAGAACAAGAAGGTAATAATTCATACTTATTCTTATTAAAAAATAATTAATAATCATTAATAATTAAAAATAATCTGTTTATTTAATAGCATTTCATAGTAAATTATATGACTTCAATATTCCAGAAAATAGTAAGTGTTTTTAAGTTTATGCTGAATTTATATTGTATAATGTTGCTAAATGATTGTTTTGTTTTTAGTTGATGATTTTGGCCAATCAAGTAATCAGAATAACAAGAGAAATAGCAATGTAATTGAAGGTAATTTAAAATAAAAATAAATATTCAATTTATGTTAAACACTTAGTATTAACAGTTAATATCTTAATTTTTAGCTGGCAATACAAGACTGACCAAGGTATTTAAAAAATTACGAGTAAATTCATCAAAAAGCGGTGAGTAAAATATTAAATAAATAAACATTCAAATTAGAGTTTATTTGTAAATAAGTATTATTAAATGTTATTTTATTTAACAATAGTTGATATACAAAAGAACTATTATAAAGATACAACACATCAACCACAAACTGGTAATATTGATGGTAGGCAAACGAGTTTACTTATTAAAAATCTTTTTAGACAATAAGTACTAATTGTATATTATTTTTTGTTTCATAGATGATGATGAATACAATAATCCAAATCTTCATTCAGAAGAACAAGAAGAATTTGAAATTCCTAATGGTTTGTTTATTTTTTTTTTCAAAATTATAAACAAATGTTTTATAGTAATGATTTACTAATGTATTTATTTATATCATTTTATTTTATTTTTTTTTAGATGGATTCTAAATTATTTTACAAATTAGATTTATAAGCAATATAGTATCATTTATCTTTATTTTGAAATTTGAAATTATTTAAACACTAAAGAGTAGTAGAAGAAATTTTCTTAGTTTGTAATTTAAATAATTTTTTTTTTTATTTATTTCTGTATTAAAATTATCATTAAATATTATGTATTATTTTTAACTTATGATTTATGTTATAACACTTATTATCACAATTTCAGAAATGTGTATATTTGTTTATTTCGTGTAATGAAGATTTAGACTTCATTAAAAATTTTGCAAAATTGTGTAACTAGGATTCTTATGCCAAGAATAGTTACTTTACAGCAAATATCACAGCAAGACACAACATATACTGTAATACAAATAAAAAATTTTTTTTTTATTCTTTACCAATAATTTTCGCATTTAATTTTTGGCCAAAAATCAAATTACTACTTTACAACCTCGTACATATATATAGCAAAAAATACTTAAAGGATTGATGTAATGTAAACTTTATACATGTCTTTAATAATATATAAAACACAATACTGTAAAAAGAATTTCTGTTATCCATATATCATTGTCTATTTTAGAACGTCTTTTATCTCAATAAATTTTCATGAGCTTTAAATAACAACAAATATTTAACCATTAACAATAAAGTCCTCTATTTGATTTTTTTTGCGAAAACACTTAGTATTATATGGTATCCGGACTTTTCGCTAAAGTCCATTTCATCAAACCCACTTCGCCGAAGCCATTTTGCCGAAGGGATATTTAACCGAAGGGATATTTCATCAAAAGGACGTTTCACCAAAATACCATTTCACTGAAACCCTATTTCACCAAATTCCACTCACTGAAGCCATTTTATCGAATGGACATTTCACCAAAAAATTATTTATTTCATTTGGTTATTTTATTGTTTTTATATATTAAATACATAAAGAAATATTTTCTAGAAAATTTTTGAATTAACTGATTTTTATAAATTTATTTCGTTGTTTATAATGTATTAAAAAATATTTTCAGGAGAATAGTTATTTATTTATCTCTTAACAATTAATATCAGTTACTTGAATATTAAAGTGATAATATCCTGGAAAAAAAATATCTCTTTTCATTGCGCGATAAATATTTTTTATTTTCGGCGAAATGTCCATTTTGCAGCAAAACGTCCCTTTAGTAAAATATCCCTTCAGTGAAATGGCTTCAGCAAAATGTACCGTAACCGTATTATATACTCTTACACAAATCAAATTGAAAAATTGCATCATTATTATAGTGCACGCAGTTTAACGCCAGGTAATTTGCGAAAAGGTTGCCAAATTTTAACCAACCATATATAGATCATGTAATTCTAAATCACTCATTATTAATTCAATATTTATAGGTTACATTACTTGGAATATTTTTGCATGAAACCAAAAAAAAGAATAAATTTATTTTACATTATTTTTTAATTTAATAACGTTAAAATTTTTCGTGATTGATTTATACTACATTAAGTATAAAAAATTTGAGAATTTAAAATAGATTATACGCAACAACAAAAAAAAAAGAAAAAAAAGAAAAAAAATAATTATTGAAAATTTAGATAATATTGATAATATTTTTTTATTTATTATATATATATAATAAAAATTGAGTTATACCTGTAGCTAAATCTTCGTAGTTCATTTACTGATTCTACACTCAAAATATTGTCTACTTCTTCATGTACCTGTCTCTTATACACATCTAGATGTGTATAAGAGACAGAGCCATTACCGGGCGTGATGGTTTGTCCACATTTCCTAAACTTATGTATTGTTTTTTTTATTTATTATATATATATATTTTTTTATTTATTATATATATTAATAAAATTTTTTTTATAATCGTCGTTATAACTTTTAAAAGTGTTTTAACATTATGTGATTTAAAAATCTTTTAACGCAAATGACGTAAGATATATATTAATAGCTAAAAAAAAAAAAGTTTAAAGTTTTAAATTTTCAAGGAATACAATTAATTTATTATATACGTAACTTTTTTTTATTATACTTTTTTTTATTATACTATAAGATGAATTGCTGTTACGTAATGATATATTACACTCGCGTTTATTAATTTACCCAATTTTATAATATTGTAATGAATTTTTTCCACTTTTGTTATTCTACTTATTCATGCAACGTATTTCTAATATCATTTTTGTGAGAGTTTAATAAGATAGACGCAATACTAAACTAAGAAATTTATCTTTTGACGTTGATCGAATTCTTTATTCATTATGCGTAGATAAAATTTCTCTGACTAGTAGTCTCCGGTATTTTTTGTAATCTTCAACATATTAAAAATTTGTTGTTTTTTCAATTATCCGTTGATTAATTTATTTACTTTTTATTCATTTATTTATTTGATTTCTTTTTTCTTTTTTTTTTTTTTTTTAAAAAAAAAAAAAAATTAATCAGAGAAAGAAAAAAATACTTTTTTTTTTATAATGCCGTGGCGTAGTAACAATTCGTACAAAAAAATTTTTATGTTACATTTGGCATTTGGGTAATACGCTTCTAACCCATAAGTGTATAAATTACAATCCTTTATATGGTGTAACATTATACAATAGTAAATCATGCTAAATTTAAATTTGTAGAATTTTATAATTTTAAAAAGGGCGTAAAAAGACTTGCTTTTTTGTTTCTATTTGTGCACTATAATTTATTGGTTAAAGTTGATAAATATAGATATTTTCTTTTTAACAAATTAAAATTTTATAATATTATGTCTACTTTTCGAATCGGATTAATTAAAGTAACATTGAATAGAGCAATTGCATTAATTGATACTAATATTTACGATAGTGTACACAAACAATTTGAATTTGTAAAACAAAGAAAAAACTGAAGCAATAAGAGTATTTAATAAAAATTGTGATCGAGAAAAAATTCTTCGTAATGAAGGGACAAGAAGAATTTGTGAAAATTGTAACCAAAAATGTTTGGCTACATTATATTGTGAATATTGTGTCCAAAATTATTTAAAAACAAAATTTTCAAGTTGGACATCTGGAAATAATGATATTAAATAACACAATCAGAAGCACTCATGCCAAATAGTATAATTGAATGGATTCCATATAATAATTTAAAAAAAAAAAAATATTTTTTTTTTTTTTGAACGAAAAGTTATGACATAATAATTATTTTTCTTTGTTAAAAAAAAAAAATTAGTAATACTTTTTGTTACCTTTTTAAGTAGTTCACTTCTTAATTTAAATGTATAATCACAAAAGTCATATGGTAAACGTTGTGAAACATTGAAACCACTTAGTAGATCATGCTAAATTTAAATTTATAGTTACGAATCCAGAGTTTACCAAATAACACTTTAGTTCATCGTTCAAATTTGTCAGAAAAAATTGAAAGCCCTATAATATTATGTCTACCATTCGCGGAGAGTTGATTAACGCAGCAATCAATAGAGCAATTATATCAACTATTAATGCTTACGATAATATACACGAACAATATGAATTTATAAATCGAATAATTCTTGCTGATAACTCTCTTACAAATGATGAAAAAACTGAAGCAATAAGAATACATAAAAAAGTTTATGATAAAGAAAAAATTCTTAATAATGAAGGGACAAGAAGAATTTGTGAAAATTGTAATCAAAAATGTTTGGCTACATCATATTGTGAATATTGTGTCCGAAATTATCTAAAAGCAAAATTTTCATATTGGACATCTAGAAATAATGTCATATATAATTTTATACAAAAATGTCAAATTGAGTCACTTATGCCAGATATGATAGTTGAATGGATTCCATATAATAATTTACAAAATATTGAATATCTAACAAAAGGTGGATTTTCTGAAATTTATACAGCAACTTGGATTGATGGAGGATATGAAGAATGGGATTCTGAGAATCAACAATTACAAAGATTTGGAAATCTTGATGTAATACTAAAAGAATTAGAAAACTTTGAAAATGCAAGTCAAAATTGGTTTGAAGAGGTTTGTAATCTAAATTATTTTAAGGGATTTAATATTTAAAATCATAATTATTAAACCTGATTTTTATAGGCTAAATCACATTTAACTATAAGTAATAAATGGACAAATATTGTTGGATGTTATGGTTTAACACAAAATCCATCAAATGGAAATTATATGCTTGTAATGAGAAAGGCAAATGTTAATTTAAGAGAATTTTTACAACAAAATCATAATCAACTAATATGGAAAGAAAGAATTGGAATTATTTATGAAATAATTCATGCACTTGATAGTATTCATAGAGAGAACTCAATTCATAGAGATTTACATTCTGGAAATATATTATATTTACAGTTTAGTGATACTTGGCTTATTAGTGATCTTGGATTTTGTGGCCCTGCAGATAAACCATCAACAAGTATATATGGAAATCTTCCTTACATAGCACCTGAAATTATTAATGGAAAAGAATATACTTTTAAATCTGATATTTATAGTATTGGTATGCTTATGTGGGAAATTTCATCTGGACAACCACCATTTTTTAATCATGATCATGATTATTATCTTGCAAGAAATATCATTAATGGTATGAGACCAAACACCATATCAGAAATTCCCTTAAATTATAAAACTTTAATGGAACAATGCTGGAATGCTAACCCATTAGAAAGGCCTGATACTTTTACACTTTGGAAAAAAATGGAAGAAATTAAATTGTATTATCAACATAATCCAACTGAATTACCTCAACTAAAAGCAAATATGGATAAAAAAATAAGCTATGCAAATGCAAGCAGTAAATTATTTACAAGTAAAATTCATAAATTTGAAAATTTACCTGAACCAAAAAATGCAACAGAAGGTATAACTTAGTAATATTTATTTACTACTTAATCTTTTTTGTTATTACTAATATAATCTTTTTTCATTTAAATAATAATAGAAGAACAAGAAGGTGAAATAAATTTAATACTTATTCTTATTAAAAAATAATTAGTCAATAACAAATTAGAACTGAATCTATTTATTTAATAGCATTTCATAGTAAATTATTTGACTTTAATATTCCAAAAAATAGTAAGTAAAAATTTTTTAAGTTTATGTTGAATTTATATGGTATAATATTGATAATTGTTTTATTGTTAGTTGATGATTTTGGCCAATCAAGTAACCAGAATAACAAAAGAAATAGTAATGTTATTGAAGGTAATTTAAAATAAGAATAAATATTTAATTTATTTTAAATACTTAGTATTAATATCTTAATTTTAGCTGGTAATACAAGATTGACCAAGGTATTTAAAAAATTACGGGTAAATTCAAAAAGTGGTGAGTAAATATTAAATAAAGTAAACACTCAAATTAGAGTTTATTTATAAATAAGTAGTATTTTATTAATAAATTTTATTTTATTTAATAATAGTTGATATACAAAATAACTATTATAGAGATAAAATACAACAGTCATCATCACAAACAGGTGATAATGATGGTAGGTAAACTATTATTTATTTATCAAAAATTTTTTAGATCATAAGTAATTGTATATTATTTTCGTTTCATAGATGATGATGATGAATATAATAATCCAAATCTTCATTCAGAAGAACAAGAAGAATTTGAAATTCCTGATGGTTTGTTTATTTTACAAAAATTATATACTTAATGCTTATAATAGTGAATTTTTTATTTACTACTAATACATTTGTTTTTTCTTAGAGGGATTTTAAATTATTTTATAAATTAAACCAAAGGAAATATCATTTATTTTATTTTGAAATTTTTTAAATTGAATTATTTAAAACACTAAGTGTAAAAGGAAAATTCTTAGTTTGTAATTTAAATAATTTTTATGCATAAATTATTAACTTAAAAGTTATATTATTATTATAAACTAGGGTAATTTGGTATTGTTAGTGAGTTATAATATAATTATTGCATTATTCAGTAATTATTTATATATATTTTAAGTAATATAATAGGGTTTATATTAAAAAGTTGATTTGTATTTTGTATTTTTATCAAATAATAAATTTTATGGTTTATTTTGAGTTTATTAGTTTTATTAAAGAAATATTATATTTAATGATCAAAATGAATTGATACTGTAACATGTTAAGTGATAATAATATAAAGATAAATATAAATATAATAGTTTGTATTAATTTTAGTAAAATATTAGATATGATGATAATGTTAAGTATAGTGATTTAAAAAAATTAGATTGGATGCTATTATGATAAATACATTGTATTGAATTTCTCCTGTAATCTATTTAATTCTGACAACATTGCATCATCTACTTTTATTGCATTTGGATCAAAAGATTGGATTTCTAGATTTTCCCAAGATGTGGCACGACTTATTGCTACATAAGATTGCCCATGAGCAAACATTTGTTCATCCAATGATACAGTTACATGGGGTAATGTAAGGCCTTGTGTCTTGTGTACAGTTAGAGCAAATGCATTTTGAAGTGGAAATTGTGTTCGTTGTGCTGAAGCTCCATGTAAGTTAAAATAAGTTGTAATTTTTTCTACTATAACTTGATTTATCCCATTATTTATTGGAAATGCCACTTCTACTTGATTTTCATTTATTAATTTAGTTACCACACCAATTGATCCATTACAAAGTTGTTCATTAAATAATTTGTTAGTTAGAAACATTACTCTTGCTCCTTCTCTTATTATTAATTCAGATGGTAAATTAGTATAATGTCTAAATTGTTTATCATATTCTTTTGGTATACATTCTTTTTCATTAACATAATCAATAGCTGTAGAAATTAAAAATCCAGAGGAGATATCTTTAAAAATAGGAAGATAACCACAGATTAAATTATTAATTGAATCTGCACTATGACGAAATCCAAAAATATAGGTAGTATCAGTTGACATTTCATTGTTACTTTGATATGATTGCACTTTTTCATCAATTAATCTTCTTGTTTCTGAACTTATATTTCCTATTCGCATTTCTTCTAATATATTATAAAATGATCTATCTTGTTGGCGATGAGAAGTTGTAAGAAAAAGTGGGAAAAATTCTTGCCATTCTGGAGCATAAAAAACTTGTTTACCACTTACAGGTGGAAGTTGAGCAATATCTCCAATTAGTAAAGTTGGAATTCCACCAAAAGGTACTGGTGATTTGTTAATTTTTGCAAATAATGAACTAATAAAAGATAAAAGAATTGATGATACCATTGATACTTCTTCAATTATAATAGCTTTAATCTGGCTAAGTTTTTCAAATTGTTGATTATTATAATGAGATAATGTTTCAAAATAGGTTTGAGTATTTCTAATATATAGTGCTGAATGTATAGTTTTTCCATTTACATTTTGTGCAGCAACACCAGTAGGAGCCATCAATAAATATTCAGTTTTTTTATCAGCTAAAAAATTTTTAATTAGATGTATCATAAAAGATTTACCAGTACCTGCTGAACCAGTTAGAAAAAAATAAGGATGTTTAGAATGTAATCTTTCTCCCCAACTATTTGTAAGTATATTCATTATTTTGTATTGATCTTCAGAAAGTAGCATAGATGAGAGATTTAAAGAGCGAATAGGTTGACGTAACAAATTATTTAACTGATTTCCAATAATTTCTTGTAAGTTTACATGCAATGAAGATATCAAATTATTAACTAAATTTTGATAATTATTTGTATATCTTTGAATATTAGATTGCATTGAATTTTGTACAAAATTTAAAGTTAATGAATATTCAGTAGGATATTTAGCTTCAAAATGAGCTTTATAAGTTTGATATAAGCTTTTTAAATCAGTTTCACTTCTAACAGGTAATCTAAGTAGTAATTGTTGATAATAAAATGATTCTGATTGCTGAATTGTTAAATGTTGAAAACGTACAAGAATTTCTTTTTGTCTTTTTCTTACAAAGCGGTTTTTTTTATCTATATAATATATTCCATTTTTTGGCTGACTTTTTTGTATAGTATAATTGCGATGATAAAAAGGATATGTCATACTATCAAATTCATTATCAGATGGACGATCAAAATATTTATCAATGGCATCATCCCAATAGGGAGATAATTGTTCTTCTTGTTGTAATAAATAAAGTGGTTTTATAGATTTAGTTCTTATTTCAGGAGGAATAGAAGGAAGAAATTCAACAGCAATTGATGATCGACATATTGAATATCCAAGTAAAAGAATCATTAATTCCATTGATCCAAGACGTCTTGCTAAAATATGTTTTCGAAATGCATCAGGTTCAGAAATATCAAAATATTCTGATGGTTCAGATTTTGTAACATACTTAGTCATATATTTTGCAAATTGATGTGTTGTTACATATTGAAAATTAATATGACCATTCCATAAAAATAATGTTGGTGCATGATATGGAATAACATATAAATCTTCTTCTTTAGTACGACGATAAATATATCTTAAGGAATTAGGATCTTCATGTGTAGTATCTGAATATGGTTGAGGAAAACCTTTTTTGCAACGTGAACCAGATGGAGCTGGACCTCCACAACGTGAATCACAAGTATGAATTTGATGTTTTTTAACCAATTCATATAATTCTGGTTCAGAATTGGGATCTGGCATATCTGCTCTAATTACATTAGAATCAATTAATTCAGAAATTGATTTAGATAAATAAGCTATACCATGTGTATGAATTGCTCCACGATTTTGAAATTCATCACGTTCAAAATGATGTAACCAGTTACCCCAATCAGTTAAATTTGGATTTTTCCAAAGATATTGATGCATTGATGCTAAACGATGATGATAATGCAAGTAGGTATGAAATGGACGATTAGAAGGAAGGGGATCTTTGTTATCAGTTTTTAATAAAATATTTTTTAAATGTGACCAATGATTTTCAGCCATAGTCATAGTATAAAAAATTTGTGGTAAACCAAATCCTTGAACCATAGTATTAATATGATGTTCTTTTTGGCGAAAATAAGAATCTCCTGTTCTAATATAAGAAGGTATAGTTGTTGTATTTTTTTCATTAATTATTGGACGTCCAGTATAAATACTATTGGTAATTAAATCTGCTGTTGTTAATTGATGTGATAGTGAAGTATTATATTGATTTAAAATTCGATTTCTATTTTGGTGATTTCTTAATTTTTCAATTGTTAAATAAATATAATGAGGCCAATACCAAGATAATCTCCATCTGGGATCAGGACAAAGTAGTAAAGATTTTGCATAATTACCTAAACTATCTGTAAATCGCCGATTTGTATTTTCATCATTTATATAAAATCCTTTTCCATATGGAAAAAGGTCAGGAAATAAAAGTGGTTCAATATTTTTATCATAAAAAGATATTGGTAATTTTTTATTATATGGATCAGTTAAAAATCCTGCCATTAATCGATTATAATGGTAATCTTCATTATGAATTTCTGCATCAAGTTCATAGGGAGGTAGTATTACAGCAGAAGGACGTGAATTAATGTTAAATAATGGTTGGTCTTGATTTTGAGAAGTATTACTAAGTGAGGCATTTGGAAAGATAATTGGTGCCCCATCCCATGTTCCACGATTAATTAAAGTTTGATATGGTTTAAAATAAGGATTATGATCTCGTAACCATCTTGCTGCATTATCAAGTGAAGAATGATACCATGAATTTGATTGATTATTATTTAGTATAGCACCAATGGTACCAGAATATAATGCAAGTGCATTAATATTTTTTGAGTAGTTAAAGGTTCCAGTTAAGTGACGATAGTTTGTGTAAGCATTGCTATTTGGAACTCGGCCTAATGAACAACTAAGATGAATAGGTGAGAGATAAATTCGATGATATAAAGGCACACTTTGAATTTCATCAGGTATAGGATCAGGAATAAAGCTCTCCATAAG